GTCATGGAAAATCAGGGATTTTTGATTGTCGCTTTAAATTTTAGTTTTCATTGATCAAAATGCAATTTTGCCATGTGCCCAGGGCCAGCGTTAAGGAAGCTCAGGACAGTTGATGGATTTTTCCACTTGTAGTAATTTGTTAATATTTAAATTATTTTATTCCCTTCCCGCTCATCAACTGGCAATCACCGAAGTCAAACGCAGTCACCAGGCTGTACAACTGGAGTACCTCGTTTTAGTTGTTTCCTAATGAGGATTTACACTGTTTTACACTAGGGATGCACCGAAATGAAAATTCTTGGCCGAAGCCGAAACCGAACAAAATGAAACACTGGGCCGGATACCGAACCCGGCTGAATAATTTCGGTTGCCGAACATTCGGTGCATCCCTCCCTATTTTACACATTTCATATTTTTAGCACAGAAGCCTGAAAGACTTTCTTGACTGTTATGTCATCAGATTACTGATTTTACGTGACTTCTTTTTTTTATTTTATTTTTTTTATGTATTTATTTTGTTTATTTAAAAAAAAAATGTAGGCCTATTTTTTGTTGTGAAATGTCCCAATTGAAGTACAGGATGTGAAAATTTCAGATAAATGTTCATGTTATATATTTGTGAGTAGTTAAACATGTAGATGGATGTTTAAAATAGGTATATAATATCAATAAATCGATCAATATACTTCTGTATCGAATCGTAGAGTAGAATTTTTTGTGGTATCTGCAAATATCGTATTGCTGGGTATGAGAATCGATATCGTATCATATCGTGACGAGCTATTCGATTTACACCCCTAGCAATAATCCTGATATTTATGAGCAATGATTAACCGTTTAACGATTACCGTGCAGCCCTAATAACAGAACAATAGTGCCTGGTTTCTCCATTTCTGTCACCTGATGGAGTTTGGTTTCATTGTCACCTTTGGCTTTAGTGTGGGTTTAAATGACAATATTCATAAAACAGTATCGCTTTTCATCTTATTTTGTGTTTATTAGTGTGAAGCTGCTTTAAAACAATCTGTGTTGTATGAAGTGCTATAGAAATACACGTGACGTGAATGCTCCTCTAACTCTGTCCGTGTTTGTTTTAGATTCCAGCTCCAGCGCGGCATCAGATGCAGCTCCAATTAAAGACTGGTGGCAGATTCCTAACTCTTCTCCAGCAAAGCCTGATGCTAGCGGCAATGCTAACGCATGCCCAACGCAGTAATCGCTGTTGTCTTTTTCTTGTATGTTTTTGTTGACACTTTCTGTTTTAATGTAAATAAAGTCAGCGTTTAAAATGCTCAGGTGTTTTGTTTTGTTGATTTGAATTGTTCGGTTTATATTGGTTACACGTTCTGTTATACAAACAGTAACGCAGCTGAGATTTGCTATATTCCCAGTTATGAGGGAATGATGTCAGAACTTTGGCTAATGTTCTGTCAAAGTTATGAACAAACATTAATAGAATATTTGTTAGTTTATCTGATCTGTAGTAATGTCTTCAAAACATCACAAAAACGTAATTTGAAACATTTTAGATGTTTGTTTAATGTTTTTTTTAAATGTTACTAGTTAGAATTTTCAGAGAACATTCAAATGTAACATTCCCATTATATTTGCAAAATGATACAATGGAACGTTCACTTAACATTTGCATAACCAAAGGACAAAATGTTTTTAACACTTCTGAAATAACGTTTATAACCTAGAAGGGTATGTTAGCAAAACGTTCTTGCAACTTTTTTTTTTTTTTTTTATATATTGCTTTACGTGATTTTTAAATGTTTACAGGCAAGTCTTTGTCAAGCCAACATTCAGAATTGATCTTGAACTTTAACAGTTCAGCTTTAGTTTTTAAATGAGTTTATTGCCAGTGAAATGGACTCTACTGTAGTTTTGTAGTACTTGAGGCCGGTCTTTAGACCATTTTATGACGGTCTTGTCTCGGTCTCGACCACATTTGTACTCAGTCTAGTCTTGGTTTCAGACTAAGAGGATTTGGGATTTGCCCCTCCACTTGTCCAAAATATTTTAGAGATTAGCATGACTAGAAAGATGTATATTTATTATAAAAATAACCAAATACTAAGAAATATCTTGAATTTTTAGTCGATGTGCAGTATCTTATTTCAATGCTTGTTTTGTCTTATTTTAAATCATTTGAAGTAGTGCTGTCAAACGATTAACTGCGATTAATCGCATCCAAAATAAAAGTTTTAATGGAATATGTGTACTGTATATATTATGTATTTTGAAAATATTTACATGTATATATTTATATTATATATAAATATATTTATTATATAAACAACATATTTTTCTTAAATATATACAGGCATGTGTGTGTATTTATATATACATAAATATACATAGTACACACATTCTGTAAACCAAAACTTTTATTTTGGATGCGATTAATCGTTGGACAGCACTACATTTAAGTTATCTTGAGGCATCTCTTTTTTGAGAGATCGTCTCAAAAATCTCACCAAATTAATACAAATACCCACAAAATTCAAGATATTGTTGCAAAAAAGTAATTGTATGAAATCTGTTTTTATATTGCCTAAAATATGATCTAATTAAGCAATATCACAAGAGCAAGAGAGCTGTTTTCACACATTTGATAATGCTTTTATGCAAATATTCAATAAAGAAAAGTTATTTTTTAAAGCACTATTCTCAACATATGTGCATTTGTAATGGTGTGCGTGGATGAGTTTTGTTAGTGATTTAATTTGATTGTAACAGCTCTATATAGTGTCTTATTCTAATTGTATTTAATGGTTTAAAAATAAGCCGTTTCTGAAGCAGTGAATTAGAGTAGTGCTGGTCTCAACACAGATCAGGTGGTCTTGACTACAGCTCTACTCTACTCTACTCTACTCTGTGTTTGTAGAGTGTTGTCTCCGCTGCGGCACTGACGCGGGATTATTATAAACACGCCGGAAAAGTCTCTTTATAGACTTTATTTTGTGAATTAAATTCTGTGTGTGAAGCATCAGACAGACGCGATGCAGAACGCGGATCCCGCAGGTGAGTGACCATAATAATAATAATAACATCAGCTCATCTGTAATAACGGCATATTATTATGATTGTGACTGACTTTATTCTCACATACATGACGAGCATCTGAGAGGAGAGCAAGTTTATGCATTAATTGCTGCATGAAAACTACTGTTCTGTATTTGTGTTTGTTATATTTGAATAAGTTGCAGTTAATTTCAATAGTAAATTACACATTTTTATTTATTTATAGATTGATTAAAGTATGGCCAGAAAGTGCAAGTATTCTGTTGCGTCTCAAATGTGTTTAAAACCTGCATGAATGATGAGAAGACAAACAAGGAAAAGTAACTTTTGTCTTTTGGTTTAAATATAAGGTCACCCCTGCCGTATTTTTATCCTCGTCATTGCATGAAATGCAGTGCAGTTTTACATTTTGGCATGTTAGTTTAAGAAGTACCTCACTGCTTCTGACATGTTTACTGTAAATGTTATTTTGCAGTATAAAAGACTTAAGTCAATTTTATTTGTATAGCGATTTTTGAATGCAGCTTTACAGGAAATCATGATGTGAATGTTTATAATATCGTAATATATTCATGCCTTAGTCACATTTATCTGATTATATAATATAACGGTAATATAATTTATATTTTGCAACGATAGAAACAATCAAGCTGTCAGTAGAACGTGATTTTGAGGGGGTAATTATTAATGTTCTCAATTTTAGCACAAAAACATTATACATTGGTCGCTTGTGTGCTTTCCTTGAAACGTTTTAGACGTTTGTCTAACGTTTTTTTTTTTTTAAAGTGACCACTTATTTCAGAATTCAAAAGTTATGTTCCTGTGATGTTTGTAACATGGAAAAATACAAATGGAATGTTCTCTTAACATTTGCATAACCAAAAAAACCATAAGCAAGCAGTTTTTAGGGAGCGTTCTGCCAAGGTTCTCTCAAAGTTATGAACATGTTCCAGTAACGTTAATAGAATGTTTGCTCAAAGTTATCAGGTCTTTAATTAGGTTCTCAAAACGTTAGAACACAAGCATTACTTATACATTGTTGAAATGGTTTTTCCTGAAGTGTTTTAGATGTTCATGTAACATTTTTTTTTAAATGTTGCCACTTGTTTCAGAACGTTCAGAGAACATTCACACGTAACGTTCCCATAATGTTTGCAAAATGATACAATGGAATGTTCCCATAAAAACATTTAAATGTTTTATGTTCAGAGAACATTCGGATCTGTTATGTGTATAATGTTTTAGAGCGGGCGGATAATATAGTTTACACTGCATCGATACTAGTGCACAGCTGTATGAGTGTGTTGTTTGTCCAGATGTGTTTGTGAAGCGGCGAAGGACGGCGCTCTGGTGTTCCGTGTCTCTGTTTGGACTCTCTGTTCTGGTTCTGGTGGTCGGGCTGCTGTCGGCCACGCAGACGGATAACGTGGCCGTGTCTGGATACTATCCCGGGATTATAGTGAGTGACTCCACACCATCACTTTAATCAACTCTTTGTTTTGTCCTTTCATTGGAGCAATAAAACCGCAGTCTGTCATTATGTTGCTGATGAAGATGGAGTCCAGACCAGCGCTGGGGAAAGTTACTTTTAAAAGCAATGCACTACATTGTTGCGTTACTCCCTAAAAAAGTAACTAATTACGTTACTTAGTTACTTTTTATGGAAAGTAATGCGTTGCGTTACTTTTGCGTTACTTTTCAAATCTGGGCGGGGCTTGCTTGTTTGTTTTAAATATAAAAAGTTCTATTTTTGGCAAATGTAAAACTTTTTCACACCAAAAGCCTCAGGCTGAAGGAAAAGTAAATTCACGTCTAACAGTAGAACGCAGAAGAAGTTCAACACTCTTCAGCAATAAAAACAGAACGAACGAACGAATGTTGGTTTATCTTGAGTAATTTTTGCTTATTAGTATGATTGAATTTGATCGAAGCTCAGCAGCAAAGACACTGGTTAATAAAATGGGATTAAATACATAAAGGATATTTGTATTATTTAACACATTTAATTATTGCAGGTTTGCGTCATATTCTGAGTTGCATTTCACTGTTTTTATTAATTTTGAGGAATACAGAATTAATGCATGTTCACATTTAGAACTAAAGTAACATCTTACGATTTCTCAACATGGGCACAGGAGAGCTTTCAATCAATAAATGGGGAAAAAATTAACTATCGTTACTTATTTTAAAAAGTAACTGATATTTTCTTGTAAATTAAAAAGTAATGCATTACTAGTTAGTACTTGAAAAAAGTAATCTGATTACGTAACTCGCGTTACTTGTAATGCATTACTCCAACACTGGTCAAGATATTAGGTTAAATCAAGTTTGTTGGTTTGTTCTCTTCTCGATGGCAGCTGAGTTTTGGAGCATTCTTGGGAATCGTTGGTCTGAACCTGGTGGAGAATCGCAGGCCGATGGTGAGTACAACCAGCCCAAATCATCTCGAAATGGCTTTATGGTGTATTTTAGATCGGCTCTCTGAGCGACGTAATGGCTCATCAATACAATTACAGCCATTGTATTTCAGTGAGGTTTATTTCTGTCCCTGTGAAATATATTTCAGATTATATTACTCATTTTAGTAGGGAACATGAGGCACATCCGCCGTCAGATCGATGAGTGTGATTGGATATGTGGTCAGTAATGCTGAAAGTGATTGGCTGATGGATCAGGTTGAGCTTTAGCTGAATTAGATTAGCATTGATGATCGCTGGGCTCAAGAAGCTGCAGCCCGTCTTCAGCCCAACTCACCTCACCTCACAGCCTTATAGAAACCAGATGTTTGCTGTTTACCCGTGTAAAACTCACTGATGTGATGCAAAAGCGTTGCTATGTGACTAATGGTGTTCCATGTGGTTGCTAGGGTGTTGCTATGGGTGCAGTGTGGTTGTTAAGGTGTTGCTAGGTTACAATAATGTCTTCAGTATCATTGCTAGAGTATTGCTATGAATTGTAGGGTGTTCAGTGTGGTTGCTAGGGTGTTGCTATGGACTGTAATGTGTTCAGTGTGGTTGCTAGGGTGTTGCTATTCGACTAATGTGTAGTGTGGTTGCTAGAGTGTTGCTAGGTGACTAATGCCTTCAGTGTTGTTGTTAGAGTACTTCTATGGACTGTGATGTTTAGTGTGGTTACTAGGGTGTTGCTATGTGACTGTAATAGTGTTTCATGTGGTTGCTAGGGTGTTGCTATGTGACTGCAATTGACACTATTGTCAGTATTGTTTAGTGTGGT